CTTCAAACTATGGCCAGTCATGAAAAGATCCGGTCAAATGACACGCTGTCTCTTATACACATCTAGATGTGTATAAGAGACAGTTGCCACACACAGTGTCGGAATATAGGGATTTGGTAGGTTTGCATTCTAAAGGCTTTTATATAAATATGGCAACATTTTGTGACGTTTCATCGTTGCTGGCGCGTAGTACGGTGTTTTGCAAGTCACATAAAGCAAACACAACTCAAGTAACGCATGCGGTTATTTTTTTATAGTTTTTCATTTCTCGATGCGTCCTTAATGTGTCGGAATATACCGCGTTTACCCTATTTTTATTCTCCTGAATTCCACCCTACTGAGTTAGTGCTCTATAATTTTCTGACTTTCACTTTGAATGACAATACCACAGCATACCTACAACTTACAAGGAGAGCTGGTCTGCAGCTGAAGACCAATCACTCATTCTAATGGACGGTAATGGATGGTCCAAAGTGGCAAAGCAGAGAGTTTTTTAGACTCTCCCGCAAGTTCATTTTTAAGTCCTATAATTAGACCAGTAAAGTAGCTATTCATGGATACCATTATTATCTTACATAAGAAATTGGTTTAAATCTTTGGAAAATGAGGAAATTAAGAATGAACTGATTCTAAAAAATCTCTGGTTTGTCACTATGGATGGTCCTAAATCCAAATTGTTAGAGTCACATGATTACATGCATCATTCATGATTTTCTAAGTAATAAAACATTGCTTTCCAAACATCTTTCCTAATTATTCTAGTAGTAGGCCTTCCTAAGAAATTTCAATTGGGCTTAGGGTAAACGCGGTATATTCCGACACATTAAGGACGCATCGAGAAATGAAAAACTATAAAAAAATAACTGTATGCGTTACTCGAGTCCTGTTTGCTTTACATGACTCTCAAAATACTGCGCTATGTGCCAGCAACGATGAAACGTCACAAAGTGTTGCCATATTTATTTAAAGGCCTTTAGAATGTAAACATACCAAATCCCTTTATTTCGACGCTGTGTGTGACTAAATTTGGCACGTTGTGAGACAAATTACGGCCGCGCTTCAGACTCTACTAGTACGTAATTCTGACATCCTTGTGTTCGAATTCCGATCGCTGTGTGAGCTGTATTGGAAAACGACAGGGCTTTGAATTAGAACACTATTGAATATTGAACACTACTTAATTAGGCTTTTAATTAACAGCTATTATAGTCAAATGGGGTAAGACAGGATCGCAGCCTTCATGGGGTAAGAAAGGACCGGCCCATAGCATGCATTCTAATTGTACTGAATTTAATTTGACAAAAAGAATATGTTAGAGCAATTCAATAATTGAGATTGTTGAAAATCTAATGTTCTTAAATATTACAGAATTTTCCAAAAAGAAAGAGAGGAAGCAAATTTCAAGATGAGGAAATTGAATCTTCAGCATCTTCTTCAGATGAGGAACAGATTGAACATATCAAGCGCTTCAAGCCTGATGATTCAATGGTTCCTGACAGCGATGAAGAGCATGAAACAGCTCAAGAGAAAAAAGAACGCCTTGCTAATGAATATATCAAAGAATTAGAAACAATGAGTAAGAGAATGTACTTATTTAAATTTTCATATTATCTATTTTGAGAATTTTTTGGGGGTTATTCATGTTAGATTTATCTTATCTTTTTAAATCACCATAACTGTTGGCACTTCAAATCTCACCCTAGTAAAGTTACATGCAGTCAGTGACAGTACGTATGTATTTTCATTGCTTCTCTTTGCTTAAGTAATTCATTACATAAATCTGAGCAGAATCTTTGGCTGCTGAGGATGCAGATGACAAAGAACAACATTCAGTCTCTCTTCAGCAGCAGCTCAGGGAAGATGTTTTGAAGGCATCTGGCAAGTTGCACAAAAAAGTTGCCCTAACTTATGCAGCTGCAGAAAATCATACAATCTCAATACTACAGTAAGTTTTCTACTTACGTATATACATTTTCACACAAAATTACTATCTCAAGTTTTGTTTGACATTCTTAAAATAAGTTTTGTATGACCATTATGATAGCAATATTCAATTTTTCATTTTAATAATGTTCTAATGACAAGTGGCTTGATATTTTTAAGATATATAATCACTCACTAACATAGTAGCATATTTATATAATTGTGTGCATTTTTTTATTATAGTTAATCGTTTATTCTAAATTTTTTCTTTCCTCACATGTGACCTTGTTTTACAGGTGTAAAAAATTTCAATGGAAAACCCTTACTTCTATTGCCATCAACCCAACTGACAACTCTATTTTTTCAGGATCACTTGATGGATCTATTGTCAAGTGTGAGTATATTCATGACTTTGCCCAATGCAATTGTGGGTTGTACTAAAATAAGGATATTTAAAATAATGGGTATTAGTTCAATGTACGTTAAACTAATGAGAGCCACTTATGATTCATGGAATGAGAGTATGAATCTTATTGTTTTTAGGTAGCCTCAACCTAAGCCGTGTTGGGCATGTAACCCTCAAATTTTTGTCTTCTACCCCTACAGATAGTATATTCGGTGAAAGATTAGGTGTCATCAAGAGCTTCCATCAAAATCCTTCTGAGACAGAACCTCGGCACAAAGCCGCTGTTTTTGCATTGGCTATTTCATCAAATGGAAAATATTTGGTAAGTATATTCCTCAAAATGTTTTTGTTGTATTTTAAATTATTTCAATCTAAAAATTGTATTGAGTAATTATACACTTGAATATATAAAATTTGTGTTGTGCTCTATATGCATTTGAAATTATATTTTAGTACTTTATTGTTTTTTCATTGCATGCAGATAGCCATTTCAACATTTGAACTTGTTTAACTAAGGTGAGTGGTGACGAATCAGGCATGATTTACGTCTGGGAAGCTGAGACTCTTCGCTACGTTGATAAGCTCAAGAGACACACTCGGGCCGTGACTGGCCTCGTATTCAGACGTGGTACTCTGACTCTCTACTCCTGCTCCCTTGATCGTCTTGTCTTTGAGTGGTGCCTCGAGAACATGGCGTTTGTTGACAACTTGTAAGAAGTGATATGTTTTCCTTGTAAAGCAGATTTCACCTTTTTCCTGGTTATATAGAACTAATTTTTAATTGGAGTATAATATATTGTTTTTGACTTGAAATATTCCATGGTATAGATTTTGAGTGACAATTGTGCAGGAAATTGTAGTTTGTAGCTTTTTCACATGTTTGCAAATGTTTGTATTTAAAAATACTTTTGTGATGGCGAGCATTCAATTTTTGGCCTTCCAGTGCATTTTCAGGACGCATTTGCATTCTTCTGGGTTAAAAACAGCCAATATCGCTCACAGAAATGTAACATTTTTTTCTAATTTATTAGATTATTTTCACAGAGGAGGCCATAGCTGTGGAGTACTTGGCATAGACGCTTTGTATCGGCCGTCGTGCATCACTGTAGGAGGAGCTGATGAAACAGTTAACGTTTATGCTATGGAAGAGGACAAGCAGTTTCAGTTCACCGGCAAACAAGTCTCCATAGACGGCGTCAAACTCGTCAATGAAAACACATTCCTCACTCATGGCCAGGACGGGTTCGTGGAGCGGAGAACAATGTTGTCAATATTCCTTATGACTTCGTTCTTCAAATTTAAACTAAGTGTACAACAGAAAGCTTTTAACAAAATTAACATTCATTATTAAAATCGAGCAAGCTGTGCAAGTGAACTTCAACAGACATATTGTGATCTAAATTTTTTGATATCCGACACAATTTCTGATGAATTATTCTATTGCTTGAATGTCAACATTCGGTATCATATTTCTAACGTGGTCCCGTAATATTGTTCAGGTCGGTGTGCCTGTGGTCAACCAACAGGAAGCGGCCGTTGCAGCACCTGAAGGTGACGCACGGCTACATCGCCCCCCACTCCCCTGAACCTCAATGGGTGACTGCCTTAGCGTCGCTTGTCAACACCGACCTCGCAGCTTCCGGTAAGACTTCCTACTTGTATCTGCTGACTCATTCTTATTTCAATCCATCCCGTCAAAATTAAACAATCGTATCTTTTCATGATTAGTGACAATTTTTTCTCGTCGTATTTAAATGATTGTGTTTATATTTATAACTTGGTCCACCAAACTTTTTTGTATCCCTGTATTGTTACAACGGAAGGATTTTCTTGGTCTGCGCCAGCAGGTTCAGGCGACGGCATGATCAGGCTATGGCGCGTCGACGCCCAGGCGCACAAGTTGTTCGCTCTGCAGCGTATCGCCATTCCTCCTGGGTTTGTCAACAGCCTAGAATTTACGGCAGATGGATCCAAGCTTGTCGCTGCTATCGGTCGTACACATAAACACGGCCGTTGGTTCGTCAACAAGAAAGCTAAGAATTGCGTGGTAGTGATCAGCTTAGTGACCTTAGAGCAAATGCGTTCAAAGCCTGGAGTTGATGTTAGCACCTCATCTGATGACGGAAATGAAATAGAAGTCAGCCAGAATGGGGACGCTGGTAGTGAAAATATTGACGTTTCTGAGGGATCTGATGAAGATAATGAAACCGAGTGTGAGCAAGAAGAAAACAGTGATGGTGAAGAAGATGAAAGTGGTGAAGACGAAAAAATATCAGATGATGACAGCGACGGAGAAAATAATGCAGATGGAAGGAGAAAATCTTCTCGAGAATTGGATACAAGTGATCAGGAAGTGAACATTCCCAGAAGGAAGTCTCTTGTGCTTCTAAAACGAAGGCGTTAATCTCAGCGTTGATTGAATAAACAACTTCTCATGTTTTCTCAATATCGTTTCAATGCGTGTATGCTCGAAAACATTAATAGAATACTTATGAACAAATGGTAAGCGATAAAGTGTGGTTAATTTTAAATTTGCGAGCCGAAAGACGAAGGGAAGAAGGCAATGATGCACACATTTGTATTCACATTTATTAAAAAATGTTGAGATGGGTATTAGGTCCTTCACTGGACTGTACAGATTTTCAGTATAAAATGAAAGCCTAACTATTGGCAGAACCTAACAGATGTCATCAGTCAAAAATTTTGATCGGTGATCCCAAGTTTCTAGTCTGTGGTTTCGGTCGACCACCAGATCTTGCTACCATACACAAGTGGATCGTGGAATGACAACAACATTTCCGGAACAGTATGAATGAATACAGCTAAAATATCGGTAACCGAAGATCAGACTTGTTATATTTACCACCAACTTCGTAATAAAGTTTTTTGTCCTTTTCTTCCCGAGGCGAACCGGGTTGAGATGGGAAGGTGTTGGTCCAAGTTTGTGTTGGACATATTCAATTATAAATGTGATAGAATTACCCGAAATGTTAATACGAACCGTTTTGTCATCTCGATAGGGATCAATTTATGCCGAGTCTATAAACTGAGTTTGTGTGAGAAGAAGTAGAGTGTCTGGTAGCGGCTTTGGATGGGGAGACAATACCTTGAGCACGCCGGCACTCTCGTCTACATCGACCCTGTACGACAAGCTATAGTTAGCACGTCCAAATTATCACATACTACACTCCTAATTATGGTAAATAAATATCACTACCAATTAATATATATAATTGAGCTTATATTCAAGATATTTGATCACAAACAACATAAAATGTCATTGCCCCAATATAAAAATGAAAATCAATCCAGTGGTCTAAATTAAGATTCAGTTAACATTACTGCTTTAATAGCCAATTTTATACTTGACTGAGGAACCAAAAATAAAATTACCATAAATGCATTTTTCAACAAGCAATCAATTTAGAAAAAATTACATGCGTTATTGATTGCATAGCTGATTTAAATAATGAAATTCAACATGTAAGTAAAAAATATAACTCAGTACTCACTGCAGGGAGTGACAGAGAGCGCATTTTCTCGTCGACGAAAACTCACGGACGGACGGACAGACAAACGGACATGGCGAGCACAATAGTGCATTTTTTCCATAAATGAGAAAATGCGCTAAAAAGACTACAGATTAGCTTACGGTAATCAGAGTTTAATAAAGAAGCACTCACACACAGATGAAGCCCATAACATTGGCAGTGAGCAGGTCCGCGGGTTCAGTGGCCATTGACAGTGCAAGCAAACAGTGCTTCACTTTGTTCCCTGCAAAAAATCGGGGCAATATTTCAACAGAGATTATAGCAGGAAACTGTACACGAGTACATACATAAGGAAGAATTCTGACAGTTTGGTACTTCTCCCAGATGCAAGTACTTGAGCTACGGAACAACACTGGGTGCCGTTCTTTTCACGCACAGGCGCATGCACTACAATAATTCGTTTTAATCTATCAATTATGGCAGAAATTCCGCCCATTCAATAATGCGCACGTCAATTTATCGTATAAAAAGTACACAGATGTCAATGTAAACACAGTTTCATTTAAGATCATATTGCTATAACGTAGTAATAATTCGATATTATATGTAAAGAGCAAAACCAACTAGGTACTCTGCAAAATGGCTTCTGGCGGAAATTTGCATCAAAGGCGGAAATCACGAAATACAATATTGATGCTGTTTAATAGGGTTAGAAAAAATGACAAATACAGTATGGCTGCACTATCAGAGGAGTTATAATGAATTAAGTACAGTATGACTGCAGTATAAAAGGTGATAAAAATAATCAAATACAATAAGGCTGCAGTTTCAAGGGCGCTACAAACAGACTCACCTGGCTCTACAGGCACAATTTTAGTTCTATGATCATCTACTTTCATGTCGCAGGGCATACAAGAGGCAGGCAGCTCCGGGGCACCGATTTTATAAATCTTCACGTGAGAAAATTTAACATCGAACGTGTGGGGATGGAATTTAGTTTTGAGGCCGTAAAAGTAGCGCCGTATTCGCTCGTCTCTGTCGGTGGCTCTTACGTTTCTTGGCCGAGTGACGACCTGACGGCGAGAAAATCATTGAAATCATTTTGTAACTATTCCCGACTCGTTATTAAATATTCATACGGAATCATAATATAACACAAAGCCTTCCTTTAAAATACATGAAAGAGGAGACATGTGACTGCAATGAATATTTTCTACACAATTTGTCCACTTCGTACACAATAGCAACATGGATCGTACGGAAATCGTAGTAGGTGAATTTCGTTGCATTGTTGTGGGTATTGTCATATAAGTAAATAAAAAGATAACATATTAGCCCCACACTAATGGCCAATATTTGGCTTGACTTTCCCGCTTAGAATTGATCTACAGAAATTCGCCAAGATTACGAGTCATCGCTTACTCCGCCACTCTTCGGCAGGTACAAAACCCTAATGAAGGGAATGTCCTGCACGAGGTCGTTGTAAAGGCGCTCCTGATCCAAGACGATGATGAGGTCCACTTCAAAGGACTGGGCGATGTGGGTCACGGACTTGTAGCCGTCGCCCATGACCCACCCACATGTGTTGATGATCGCTCCTGACACCGAGACTGAGACAACAACAATTTCCTTATTAGTCGTGAAGAAGGTCATGAAGTAAGCTTTTTTGGGAAAGTAAAGGTGGATTCTGTATTATTTAACTGCAAGGACGAGAATCGAGTCGCGAATATAGCCTGTCAATCAGAGTCGGAAATGAACTAATCCAAGGAAAAAGCTTTATACATGGCAATGAATGGGATAACTTCCAAGGAACTTCTAGCAAAATTCACTTCCATTCGATTGCGTGTGTCGAATTAGGGTTATCAGCACTAGCACAAGAACTAAAACAATTTGTGACGACACCTTTCTTGTTGGAGGCCATTTTAGCGTGTATGTCAGAGCCCATCTTCTGCACGAGGATGTTGTAGAGAGTCATGTTACTGGATGGAGTCTTGTCGCCGAAGCTGTAGACCAGGGGCGCTTCTTGAGAGAAGCCTTCTCGTACGGACGCCGCTCTCTCCACAAGCACAGCACCTAAAGGTTAATAATTTATTAGGTCAGTCGGTGATTCATGCAACATAGGACATATTAATATGTTCAATCACAGGCATGTGTCAGGGTTTGTATATAGTCATAGTTTTATCAAAAGTGCGCATATGATATATTTTTCTCATGAAAAATCCAACCCATTAATAAGCTAGTTCATATCATAAGGAGAATGAAAAGCATTATATATTCTGTGTATTTTTCTATGAACTTGCCTAAGGTTCCAGGTACAGACAAACTGCTTTGCCCGACGTCCAAATCCACGTAAATCGGCCGACGTCCAAACCTGAAAAAAGATAAACCTCGTAAAAATGGTTACCTTAACAGAAGCAGCATGAAATGCAATTAAAATTAAAAATACTTTGAGAACGCAGAAGTAATATTCTTCCTAGAATGAAATGGCTATTCATTCGCTACTGACAGAAAACAAACACTGAAATATTCTCAGATTCTGTTACTCTTCATCCATCGAAACGAGCATCCTCTTGAGGAACTCGAGCTGCTCGCCGTACAGGCGGTACTGCACAGTGGACTGTCCCACGTCTCCAGGCCCCACCAGTCACCACCATGCAGACCACTCACCGTACGGCGTAGTTCAGGAGTATACGGCACAGCGTGGACTTCTCACGTCCCCAGGCCCCACCACCATGCAGACCACTCACCGCACAGCGTAGTTCAGGAGTATACGGCACAGCGTGGACTTGCCCACGTCCCCAGGCCCCACCACCATGCAGACCACTCACCGCACAGCGTAGTTCAGGAGTATACGGCACAGCGTGGACTTGCCCACGTCCCCAGGCCCCACCACCATGCAGATGGGCCCGCGCGCGTGGCTCGCCTCGTCGCTGCTGCGCGTCGCGCGCTCAGCGTTGCGGCGCAGGCGCTCGAGGCAACCGTGCGTGTTGAGGTACATCACCTGGGCAGTGGAATCAATGATGGTGTATTAGAGTCAACAATGATGCAGTGGAATCAACGATGTATTAGAATTAACAATGATGCAGTGGAATCAATGATGATGTATTAGAATCAACGATGGTGTATTAGAATCAACGATGGTGTATTAGAATCAACGATGGTGTATAAGAATCAACAATGATGAAGTGGAATCAACGATGTATTAGAATCAACAATGATACAGTGTAATCAACGATGATGCAGTGGAATCAACGATGATGTGTTAGAATCAACAATGATGCAGTGTAATAAGAAATAATGCAGTATAATACAAAATAATTTTGTAGAATCGCCAGTGATGTAGCAGAACTAAGATGTGTTAGAATAAAATATAAAAAAGTATGGCCGAGAAACGGGGCTTGGTGGCTATCAATGTAGTGGAGAGGAAGACCAATGATAAATGCGTTTGATTTAGTTTGCTAGAGGTTTTTACTTGAGTTGATAAGAGCTACGAAACTAATAATCATGAAAATGGCAGGTCTACTTCGGTAGGTTGTGTCCCCACATACCCGAGAGAGCGTGGTCAGGTTCTCTACAAGCTTTCATCCATTCAGGGTCCTAATTAAAACTCAAGTATACTCCATTTGTAGGGCACAAACACACGCAAGGACTCGCTTCCCCAATATTAACCAGGAATGCAGTCCCCCATATCAACATAACGGCCTCATGTCTTATGATATAAAAAAGTCTATCAATAAAAACTATTAAAGACATTTATATTACAACATTAATGATAAATATAATAGACATGTTATAATAAAAATAATACTATTGAACCTGTTAAAGAAAACAATAAGATATAATTAACAATATTATTAGACGTGGTCAATTTAAATCGCGTCTATTAAAGTCTGATGACGAATGTTCACCATGGGCGTCTCGGTGGCGATGTAGGTGCCCGTAGTCTTGCCCATGAGCCGCAGCCTGCAGCCATGCCATGTGAACACCGCCACCTTCGCCCCCGGCAGGAATGTGTATTGCTTGTTGGGCGCAAGCTCAGTGCCGAATATTTCGGCTTTGCCGTCCAGCAACTGCAGAGCAAAGTCAAATAATAAAATAAATAATAATAGCGGTTTCAGCGTTTATTAGGCCGTAGGCCTGTCGCCGATTCTCAACATCGCAGAACATTCACAGCTTGTTGCGGTCTCGAACTCGCAACTCACTGCTACAATTTTGCTGTGCTTAACCGCCCGGCCTCCTTGCCGATTCTGACCAGAAACTGGCGCACGGAGCAGGGATCGAACCCGCGCCTCTCTGCTCCAATCTCGGTACGTACTCTGAACTTTAACCACTGGGCCATCAGTGAGCAAAGTCAAGTCACAAGTAGTAGAATGTTTTGCTAGCGCTTCAGCCATCAAGCTATTTCGCAACAGAGGTCAAAAGATAATATTGCCAGCATGGCGGACGGAATCAATAATTAAGAATCTCAAGTTAATCATCACCCACAAGGGGCGGAAGGTCTCAGATGTCCAGCCCGCTGAAGCTGGCTCGCAAGAAGCAGCGTTATCATCTCAAAGAGACGAAGTGACAAGGAGGGACAGGTGAAAAGCAACAGAAACGAAGACACTCGAACAAGAGGTCGCTTACACGGGACGTTCCCGCCCGCACGAGAGAGACAGAGAAATTTAATGCGAGGAATCCTACCTACATAATAACTTAACCCCACAACTGAGACCTGCAGTCAGACACCGCGAGCTCAGCGGTGGGGCGCTCAGGAACAATGCCCCTAGGAGCGCGAAATCCCATAAGACATCTGACGCGCACAGACACGCGTCAGAAGTCCCCCCAAAGAGGGACCAAAGTCAATCTACGTCATACAACAATCAACATATAAATTCGTGGTTATGTAACTCGGAGAGAGATATTTTAAACATTTCAAATGCAGTGGATGTGCTATGTTCAGAACGCTACAGCGACAAGCACTTATAATCTTTAGCTTCATAAATAGACTAAATACTTCTACTTATCACTTCAAAAACAAACGTGAAAGAAAAGAAACAAATCTTTCTCGAAAAATACTTAATCAAACAGCGGGCAAAAAACTGTGTTTGCGATAGTTTTAATTCAATCATTTTTCGTTTAATTATATAATAAAGCGTGTCTGACGGAAAATCACATTAGATTCAATCCAATTGTTTATTTATCGCAAAATGCAACCGATGTTTATATTAACCATCCCATAGTAAACAAACTGGATCGCAAGAGACTTAGAAGCGCGAATCTCTCATATCCTGATAGTTAACATCAATGATACTTTAAGAAATAATTACACACTTCAACTGAGTTGCAAACATTTAATTTGTTTATCTTGATACTATAACTTTTCACCTTCAATGATACGTCCTCAGCGTCTCGCTCGGCCTCGAAGCGCAGCTCGCTGTCTTGCTGTAAGGTGAAGTCGTGCTCCATATTTAAACACTTGCCGTAATAAGGACTAAAGTGCGATTATAAAATATTTCACTACAATTATTATTAAACGCAAAGATTCATATGATATATATTCCAAGATTCATAACGCAAGTAGTTGGCCTTAACATCTGAAACGAGAATAAAGTACAAGTACACTTGGGGCTATTATAACGTGTCAACTTAGGTACAGTCAATGACGGACACTTAGGATACTGACGCTCACAAGTGTACAAGCCATCATAAATGGCATAGAACATCTTCCACGTGATGCAAAACTTCGTTCAGCATACAATCGCCCCCGAAAATTGAATTTGCACTTTTTTACTACTTTGGTGACAACGAAGAAATCAGATACGAATTGTTTGAAAGTGGTGAAGGAATTACTAAAAAAGTAAGACGAGATCTAAATGAAGTTCCGAACAGCATGAGAAATAAAACCTTTTGCTATCCACCACACTTCAAATGTTAGGACGTTCAATATAAATAAACAACGTTAAGCTCTTATTCCATAAAGTTAACTGTCATGTATTATAGAACAGAAGAGCAACTGGCTCTAGTTCGAAAGATTCCCTACGTAGGAGTGTTGAGACTCGGATAAGCCCGGAGGAACGTCCAGCTTCCTCTGCAACCTAACGAGTTGCTCCTACGGGGTCTAATATCAACCAATTTAGGGGTAATAAAAACTCCAGGTATAGGAACAGCGCCTATATTTAAAGGGATATTTTTCACACTCATTCATTTCCAAACGTATCAATAAACCGATTAAGATGGGAAGCCAAATTCAAAGTACATGAATAAAGCACATGGCAAGCGCTGCAAAAGCGACGATGCCAATTGACTGCCAGCAAAGAATTCATCCACTGCTCAGTTAACGAACAAAAAAGCTAATTTAAACAAACTCTGCATTGAATAAAGTACTCTATACCGGAGCCATCACCATGGACAATGACTTTACACCAAGTGCTCTTAAAATCGTCCCAGCACGTGACTCCATGGAATGTTATTTTGGGCACAAACAGAATGGATGTCCCAGTATTCATAGAGGTTAATTAGAACTGCGCGTGCATTGCAGTGCCACCATTACGTTCAGTTGTCAAACAATACCAAGAGATTCATGAAGAGAATGAGAGATAAATTTCGGTTTGCAGAGCCTCTTGTCGCATAATTACAGGGAGGTATTGTGTATATAGAGAGTGATGGTGCCCTAGAAATAAAGAAGTTCACATCAATGGACACTTATGTACTACTCCTCTCACGAGGGCAAACATGAATCATGCGTTGAAACTAATATCATCACACACGTTCAGAATGGATGATGTAATTCTACCATATGTCCATCCATTCGTATTCATTATGAAACGAATACACCGGCTATTATATAATTATTCATTTATATATATTAAGAGAAGATATAGCTTTATATAATAAACGGAAAAATAGGCATAAATCAACACAAATCAATACAAAGTAAAGTTCCACCATTCAATCTTTCTTGTTCATAGAATCTCGACAGGGTTTAGGTTTCTCATGGAAAAGAATTAGTTCGTAAATGATATTTATTCAGGAGAAGTTAAGCAAGCGCAAAAATTAATAATCAAACCGACCGAGAACCAACAAACAAAATTTGCAAGAGCTCAGGCAAAACATTGAAACAAGAAACTGCTTCAGGGATCGGGTGCTTGAGCTTAAAGTACAGCATTAACAATTCTCTTTCAATAATTCAATACAAAATAATATTAGAGGAAAAAATCACAGGTTTCAGTTGAAACGAAAGAACATAAATTTTTTCATCTTCGTACTTGAAAGGTAAATAATAATGAAAAAAAACTGTAGGTGTCGCGGACCCAAATACGATGACAACTGCTACGCAGGGCTCTTGCTGCCGGCCGCACACGTGAAAACGATGCGATCTAGGCACACGATATGATAGCTACTTATTAAACAATGGGCAAGCTTGGTGGTCAGATCAGCAGATTAATGTTAATAGACAATTGTAAGTCCTGCACTACATCCTGTCGATGGAAGGAAAGGTGACTGGCGCGTCACTAACCCGTTTTGGACAGGGGTGACACAAGACTAAGACGTTAGTGTGCAGTAGACAAGACAAGACCGCAAATCACTTCCTAGATACTGATTCAATTACAGACTCAAATTGAAGTTGAATGAAAACAGATAACTAGAAAAGCGTTCGATTGGCTCCAAAATGTGAGGGCTCAGTATAGTAGTAATGGAACATGACTTGGATCAATATACCTCGAGGCAGATCACACGTCGTCCGCAATCTGTGGTTACCTCAAGCTGTACTCGCAGTTTATCAATGCTTCTATGCTCTGCTAACTTAGAGTAACTTATGAACAAAAATTGCTATACGGTATCGTAAAACTCTCGTTTAAGGTTGACATATTGACCATAATACTGATACACCACAGGCGTATTTCCGACTAAAAAGCTAATTTCAGAGAACTGGAAAGGTTTAAATTCTCTAATCTATAGGAAATTGTTAAAAAAACATAGGTATATTTAATGTTTTCAGGCGTTCTGATTGCGGTACTAGAAAATAAGATGGGTTAGTTAACACAGGGAGAATTTGGTTCACAGTACTAACGTGACAGAAACCGTACAATATATTACCTAGAGCAGCGAGCGGACAACACAAGCAAGCTATACACACAAACAGCAGGAACCCAAAGAGGATCTTTTTAATCCAGGCCCAGGTTTCGTTCCTCTGATATACATAAAGAAATTTGTAGGCAGTCCATTTTTAGCGGTGAAATTTGCGGCTTGAAGACGCTGGAATTTTCAGGTAGATTCATTTGTGGGTACAAGTGCGAATTTGCATTCAAATGAAAACAAAATAGCTACCATTATAAAAACCCACTGGATGAATGTGCGAGGCGAGCATCCATGTACGAGCGCTGAATAGAAGGCTAAACAAAACTTTTCTAATGTCTGGTGTAAAACTGTGCAAAGAATTCTTAGTTGAATTCAAGAATTCAACAAAGTTAAATTTGAATGAAGATGACTGAAGTCTTCCATTTTAACAAGAGCTTTCTGTAAGTGTAGAAACAACGAAACTATTTTCATGAATAACAATCGTTTCAAGAAACAATCATGACAAAAGTACAGAAAACACAATGAATGTCGTACCGCATTCAACTCAGAACCTACCATCTTACGATTGTAATAAACTCTGGGAAATAAGATACACGGATAATACACAACCGTAGTGACGCTGAAAACAAAAGCGAGGTGCAAGGAGTCGAACCCATCTGAAATTGATGCATCTTAAGCTTATTCGAGGTGCAATTAATCTGAATTAAAAAAATGATTCAATCATATGTTTAATCGTTACCCATGCCATGATAATAAATGAGTAGAACAGTGAGCTGGCAGCAAATATAGATCGATTTCAGGCTGGGTGAATGCTGAAAACAATAGCAATAATGTCCTGCTGGTAAATTGCTTAGAATAGCGGCGACAAGAGAAACAAGAAGGAAAGCCAAATTATTTTCGTGACGCTTGAACATGTGAACCAAAATCATGAATAATTAGTTGATAAAGTGGCTGCAAGGAGAGCTAGACACAGCAACCAACAGTGGCTAACAACAGTTTCCTAGATGGCTTTAGGCGAGGATTCAATTTAATAGCATGCAATGAAGTATCCATAATAGTTGAACATGGTACACAAGTCGCAACTCATTCAAAGTATGAGGAGGTAACCAAAAAACGAACTAGCTTGCCACCATATCAAGCCACAAATGCTGCCGCTCGTTCCACGCATTTTATATTTAAATTATCTAATGCCTCGAGCCTTCCTTACGCGAATGATTGAATAGAAGGAACACAGCAACAGCTTCAACAGCATCTAGAGTCTGAAAAATTTCGAGTGCGCATCACTGCGCATCACTGATTACAAAATGATTACACTGATCGAGTGCGCATCACTGATTACAAAATGGTTCAATTTGGAAGTTTTTCACACTTAACAACGATATTTTGGCTGAAATTCCACCACGGAACGTGCTACTATTTCAGGTACTGAACAAATAAGGCTAAGAAAAAATTCCCAAGATAACTCTCTTAGGTGGCATGAGCTTTCGGTGCCAAATTTGTCCAAAACTCCAAGGTTAGACTAGGGAGAGAGCAAGAGACTACCTTTGCTAAGAAATAATCAATACCTCTCAAACCTAGTTACAGAAAAATAACTGCGGTGGCTAACCAGTTAGATTTTTCAGGAAAATTTCTGCATTATGGTACCCAGGAGCAAAAAATAAATTCTAGACACAGCGGCCACTACCAGCGCACACAACTCGTCATTGCGTTGATTTTCTGACGAAAACTACTTTCAATGTGCCTTGAAAATATCATGGAAAAAACAGAATTTGTATAATTCTAAAGAATTCTAAGCACCAAAACAGAAATGAACCGGCTGAGAAACATAGTTCAGCGTCTCATCAAAATAGTCTTGGGTTCTTTGATCACTTTGAATTAATTGACGAAATAATTCTAAAAATATATTTATCAAGTTAAGAATAGCATTGGGAAAAATACTCATGCCCTTCTTTTCACAACTATGAGATTTTGTTCTTATTGCAATAAGCACTAAATATCATATTCCAATCAGGCCTAGATAGATCGGAAAGGCATAACGAAATTCGTCATTCTACGTCAAGAAAAATTTCTAAATGGCCGATAATTTTGTGAAGGCTAAAAACTTGACTACACACGACATGTAAACGGTACGGTGAGGCGCAGGAGATAAGCTACACACGTCCTGCTGGCGAGACGTCCCGCACTGCACTGGCGCTTAGCAGCAGGTTGAGCCCTGACCGCTGGCTGCCTGAGGACCGTTGATGCCAGAGCCGCTAGGGGAGTGCTGGGGACCAATCTTGATGCCATTTGCCTGTATAATGAATGATTAACGTAAGTAGAGCAACAAAAACTAAAATGAAAAACCTAGGTCTAAAGGTCGGTAAAAATGTATATGTAAATATAACAAGACGATTTACCTCATTGTGGACATCAAAAACTCCTTCTTGGATCTTGATGTAGATCTCTCTGGCGGTGTCGATAAAGGCCTCTTCGACATTGGCGGCCGTCTTGGCCGAGGTCTCCATGAAGACCAGGCCGTGCTCGCGAGCGAACGCCTCGCCCTCCTCACGTTTCACTTCACGACGCGAGTCCAGGTCACTGAGATAAGAGAATGAATTTAATATAAACCTATCCTCTGCAATACACATTACACTTTTGGGAGAGAAGCTCAGTAAGCCTTCAATTCGGAACAAGACTCTGGTGGGCAACAGGAATCCTAGATGTGTGAGTTGACAGAGAGCTGGAGCGCAGGGCTTGGTGCTTTATCAGCTATCAAAAGCTGTCACTTTATGTAGCTGTCTTCACACTACCACACACAATGAGTGATTTTATGTGGCTTATGATTGTTTAGCAATAGGTAGGTATCAGGACGACTTTGTCTTAAAGCTTGTTTGCATTCTAGGCCTAAGCTAACAATTAAGAGATCTATTGCAGGAAATTTTCCTCTTGGGATTCATTTGCTTCTTTAAAAATGTTTGAGCAAAATATTCTTTCTTCAGAAATTTCAAAGTTCTTCAGAAATATCAACATAGCATATATCAATATACAAGAGTACCTTTAAATGAAGAAAGTTGCCTATAGTAGAGCAGCTAACCTCTTGTTGCCAATGAGCATGATGACCATATTGGAGTTAGAGTGTTGGCGAGCATCTTCCAGCCACTGGGTGAGGTGATTGAAAGTATCGCGCCGAGTGATGTCATAAACAAGGAGGGCCCCAGCCGCACCACGGTAGTATGAGCGAGTGATTGACCTGAAGGCTTCTTGTCCAGCCTGCAATACATTTAAATTAGTTCAGTGGTGCTGTCTAAGTGAATGGCAATACCATATAAAAGAATTACCAACTTCCAGTATTAGCATAAGGTTTCACTTTCATCCTAATGAAACAGCAAAGAGTTTTCACTCAGTCATGAAGCATGATTTTTCCAGAGTTATCACTATTAGCAAACTTTGAACTTTTTAGCACATTTGAGCATGTGCTGGGACAAATAGATAAATTAAATAGTTGATGAATGTGTACATATGAACTCGCCAAAATTCTGTGTTACAAATGTAAAATTTAGGATACAAAACAAGCAGGCAATATCAGCTGATTGTCACATGTCTCATTGAGCATCCCATGTATGTCAACTCCCCAAATATTCTGTATTATAAATTTAAAAGTTAGAATAACCATACAAAATAGCACAGTTGGATTGTCTCATGCTTCATTGAGCAGTCAAGTAATGTTGCAAAATAGTGAGTTGTGAACATGTCAGAGACAATTTTAAAGCCACACACAAAGACCTCCAGGACTCATTGAATCATTACTTACTGTATCCCAGATCTGTAATTTGATCTGCTTGCTGTCAATAGTTATCATTCGGGCACCAAACTCAACTCCAATGGTCAAGTCATGGACGGGTTGAAACCTTTTGTCAGTGAACTGCAGCAAAAGGCATGATTTTCCAACTCCTGAAAAAATAATTATAAACACAATAGTACAATTTACAGAAGTTTTGTCTTTTAAAGCAAATTAAATAGCTATTAATTAGGCTATGACATTGATAATAATTCTAACCTAAAATAAAACCATCACGTTTGGAAGGTTTAATGTCCCAATATGTAGGACCCTAATGTCAGTTAACAACCCAGATGGGAAAATTGAAATAGAAGAACAATAGATCACCCAACATAAACCATCTTTGTATGTGCTTGTTGCTTACACCCATGTCTATTGCCCATTGATAATTTCACTTATACTTAACATGAGCAAGGAATTGTTTTGCAAAACACCAAATATAACAAAGCAGTCACCTGGGATATTTAAATACGTCAATATCATATTTTTACACTATCATCAATATAAATTGAGAAAATAATACATCAAAGCAGTAAGATTTTTGTTGCCAAGTTATATCAAATACTTAATAGACCAATACATTGTGCTGCAAAAATTTGACCCTAGCCAAGATTTTTTTACTTTCAAGCTAAAAGATTCGAGGTAAAAGTTACAATTTTTGCACACCAAAAAAAAAATAGGATAAAGTTAAAAATAATATGCATTTAAAATTAATTTTCAAAGACAATACTTCAAAAGAATCCAGTGTCTCCAATGTTACACATATGCCATGAATTTCTAATTTTATTATCAAACATTAAAAAACTAATTTGTAATTTCATTTCTAAAATTAATTTTTTTTCCAATTTTTTAAAATTATTTATTCTGTCAATTGATTCATGCATTGTCTCTAACTTTACGCGAGTGTGCAAAATTTCAGATTGATTGGAGAGGTAGAAGTGTTTTAAATATCGATTATAAGATTTGTAGCAGACAGACAAACAAACAAGAAATGAAGTTAAAGAGAAGTGTTGTAATAACCAAGAAACAGAGTTTACAGCTACTGGGTGGTCACTGATAAAAACGCCTAAGCTACCACCCTCCAATAAGTACAATGTATAAACTTTAAAAACAGAATAATGATAACTTTTTCCTCATAGTTGTTCCCAAGAATTCAATAAAATGAACCATCAAAATGGGGTAATAAGGGATGGGCAGGGTAAATCAGGACAGTCCTCCATCATGGCACAAAAAGGTTATAGCAGCAAAACTAATATTGCAATACCGGTACTAAAAATAGTGGTATAAACTTTAAAATTTTTCTTATCTATGTAGCACAAAGCAAGTTATGAAATCAACACTAAGTAAACTAACTAATTACTAGCTCTAAAAAATCCCTTAAAAATGTGTTAAAAATGATATTTTGGAAAAAGCACTTCTGCTAAGGTCTGTAGTAACAAAAAATACTTGCCATATTAAAAAATTTTACTTGGAAAAACTTGCAGACAGGAGCTAGCTTAAAAATTTCATTGACAGGATTTATGTAGCTCAATTGAGAAAAAAATGCTGGTCATTTCTGCAAGACAAGTTATCAAGGGGATCATCAAGGTAAAAAATCTGTTAATTTGGCTTTTCCATTTTCTTGGCTCATTTTAAGCCTGCTGAAGAGGTGCATCTAATGCAGCAAACTGCATGTATGAGCGCACTCTAGTTTCTGCGGAGGTTGAAATTAAAAAAATATTTAAAATGAACATTTTTTAGCAATATGTACCAAGATTTCTCTAAATTAAATCTGTATTTATAGATCATTATTCCTGTTAATTGCAAAGTGTTTGCACTCTTTTCAAAGCTACAAACAAGATGCGTTCAACAAAGCTAATACCATGGATGTACTTCCAATAATTTTTGCACAAGGCTGTTTTGAACTTTTATAAAGTGACCATTTTACAACATTTACAAATTTTCAATTAAAAATTGTATTTATAAATCATTATTCTCATTAATTGCAAAGTGTTTGCACCCGTTTGAAAGCTACAAACAATACATGTTTAAAAAGAAAATACCGTACCATGGATGTACATGCAATATTTTTGCATAAGGTCATTTTGAACTTGTATGGAATGAATATTTTTTATATATACAAAAATCTATAAAGAGTCACATTAATAGCATTTTATTAACATTAAACTGGACAAGAATAAGTCTACAGACATGTGCTGGTACCTGAAATGTAACTAATTGGCAATGTGATAGCTTGGCCTCCAATATGAAGCAATTTTTTGGTATATTCTTTTTTCAATAAATTTTAATTATTTGGCTCCCCTGAATGATTAAAATTTCTAAATCATACCATCTTTAGGGGAACAATGGCTACCCTCCAACAAAACTTTTTTATTTACAGACGGATCATTTCGAAACTTGGTACATATATGTAAAACAGAAATCTAAGACCTTCTTGTTCATGTAAATTTTTTGAAAAAAATGAAGGAAAACGTGAAATTAATAGAAAACGGCAAAAAAGGGGGTACCGGTACTCTAAAAAGTTTATAACTTTTGCAAACCACATGCTACTATGTTGAGGCACATATCATTCAATTTGTAATAACAATATCTAGCGACTGTAGAGCTCCGATTTTTTATTTTCCTCATTGTTTTTTTTATTCACATTCTTCCCATTTTTTTTTATTTATTTTATAAAAGTTGAAGACTGCATTACACAAAAAAAGTATTGCATGTACATCTATGGTAGTAGCTTTGTTGAACACGTCTCGTTTGTTGCTTTCAAATGAGTGCAAACACTTAGTAATTAAGGAGAGTAATGACCTATATATACAGATTTAATTCAAATAAATCTTTGTACGTATTGTTAAAAAATTTTCATTTTCTATATTTTTTAAATTGTCTTACGCAAAAACGTGTGTTAAATTGTCTTACGAATAGCATGCACAGACATGCAGTAAACTGCGTTAGCCACGCCTTTTCAGCAGCTACAAAATGAGTCAAGAAAATGGAAAAGCCAAAATTTCTGATTTTTAGGGTAGGTAGCCGGTCCCCTTAAAAATCTATGTCCTATAATCAGAGCTGGGCAGCGCTACTTTGAAATGTAGCGGCGCTACCGCTACATGCTCTAAATGTAGCGGACGCTACCGCTACCTATACACCCATTAGATTGTAGCGAGTGCTACTGCTACTGTAAAATGTAGCGCCGCTACATTAGCCTCTACAATGGCCAAAATTATTGGAAATCTCTAAATATTTATTGTTCTACTATTGGGATTTACTCAATGCCCAAACATATCAATGCAACTTTATTGCAATTAACCTAACCAAACTAGAACGGGTTAGATACAGTAAATGAAAGATTAAAAGTTACAGTTATTTTTATGTTGTACCTTCCCTACATGGATATGTACTTTAATCTACCAATCTAAAAAATTATCCACATATACATATAAAAATCAGTCTTTTATTTGTATATATATATATATATGTTGATTATTTTTTAAATTGGTAGATTAAAGTGGACATCCATGTAGGGAAGATGAAACATAAAAATTACTCTGTAAAAATAACTGTAAGTACACTGAAACATGAAAAAATACCTGTAAGTGGTAACTGGTAACAACTTAACAAGTAACAACTAACATGTTGACACTAGTAACAGGCTGAGGTTGACAACATTACACCAAAATCTTTCGTACAGTTTATTCTGTAATTTAAATTATGTATGTATCATGCTGGTTTTTAAATAATATTTAATACTATTAAGTAAAATCTAAAGGCTTTATCTATAAATGTAGCAGTAGCACTGTAGTGGCATAACCTCATATCGCTACTTAAATATGTAGCAGGTGCTACCGCTACAGCTACATTGCCTTAAATGTAGAGCCGCTACCGCTACTGAAAATGGAGCAGCCGCTAACATGAAGCATGCTACTGCCCACCTCTGCCTATAATGATTTTCAAGCTACAGCATTGATAGATATAGTATTCAACTTGCAAAAGAAAAAAAATATCTAGCAATCTACCAATAATATTTCTTTATTTAGTTTTACTTTGGATTATATACTGAAAAACGGATGAGGAGAGAGGGTAAAATTATAATAAAAAAACATAAAAAATTGAAAAAATCATTGGTTGATTGCTAGATATGGTTTTTACAAATCAGATGTTACATACCGTAAAATGGGGTAACTTAGACAACTTTTTTTATAAATGATGCCATTTTTATACTAGCTAAATTAAACTTGAATTGAAACGTGAAAAATACAGGTCTATACTCTAGCTTCACTTACCATAAATTGCTGGCTCCTGTCTCTCATAATCTTTATGTAATTTCAAAAAAAGTGATGGTCTTTGTTACCCCAGCTCTTGGGGTATCTTAGACTGGGTGGTAAAATCAATTATATTTTTTGGTCAAATAACTCCAAATAACTCCAGCTTTTGGTGCATTGTAGTAGAACTTTTCTAGTTACATATGCAAATGACAAACTTGAGGAAAGTGTCATTAATTTGCTAATGGACAGCGCCGCCCCATAATGGGGGAAATGTGACTACCTAATGGCAGCCCAGATGGGGTAAATATTGAATGGCTTGAAAATTAAGTAAAAATTACCATATATAAGACTCTGTAGAGTCTGAAACATAAAGAAAAAACATAAATAGGCTGTCAAACATAAAATATGTTATATATGGTAATTTTATATTAACTTCCAAGCCGGTCTATGTTACCCCGTCAGGGCTGACATTAGGTGGTCTAAGTTCCCCCATTTGGGGGCGGTGCCCCCATTTTCAAACTATGACACTTTCCTAAAATTTGTCATTTGCCTATGTAACTAGAAGAGTTCTACTACAATGCATCAAAACCTGGAGTTATTTAACCAAAAAATAAAAAAATTGGAGGGGGTACTCTGAGAGACTTTAAATAATAGCTTTTTTTCGTGGGTCACATTTTTAATTTTTTAACCTATTAGATATGCAAACTTTTTAAATCTTTCTATTGTGTTATGTAGCCTCAGTATTAGGCCTTTACTGTCCATAGACAAAATTTTTCTATGTCAAATAGTTTTTGAGTTTTGGGGGTTTTTGTTAAAAAACGAAAAGTGGTCTAAGTTACCCCATTTTAAGGTATATATGTCTCTCGAGGTTGTAGCACATTAA